CGGCACCCCCCAGCCCAGCGAGCTCTTCTACCCCAGCCCGGGCATCCCCCAGTCCAGCCGGCCCTATCCTCCCAGTGCCTCCCAGTCCAGCCAGCCCTTCCCCACCAGTATCTTCCAGTCCAGCCAGCCCATTCCTCCCAGTGCCCCCCAGTCTGGCCAGCCCTTTTCCCGCTATCTCTTCCAGTCCAGCCAGCCTTTTCCTCCCAGTATCTTCCAGTCCGGCCAGCCTTTTCCCCCCAGTAACCACCAGTCCAGCTACCCCTTTCCTCCCAGTATCCTCCAGTCCAGCCAGCCCTTCACGTCCTTCAGCTTCCCGTGCATCCTGCAGTCCAGCCAGCCCTTTTCGTACCGCAGCCCCCCCCGGCTCCCCAAATCCTGCCAGCTTTTCCCGGCCAGCCCCCTGTGCCCCCCTCAGTCCAGCCAGCCCTTCCCGTGCTGTGCCCCACCATGTCTGCCCCAGTCCAGCCAACCCCTGTCCTACCGCAGCCCCCCCCGGCTGCCCAGACCTAGCGACCCCTTCCCCTTCCCCGCCTATTCCCCCCTGGGGGTCCCCCAGTCCAGCCGCCCCTTCCCCTTCTGCACCCCCCCCTGCATCGCCAAGGCCACCGAGCTCTTCCCCTGCTACGTCCCCCCCCAGCCCAGCAGACCCCTCCCCATTTACACCCCTCTGCACATTCCCCAGTCCAGCAGACCTTTCCCCTCCTCCAGCACCCCTCAGCCCCCCTCCCCGTGCACCCCACAATCCCTGGATCCCTTCCCTCACCACCCCCTGCAGCCCCCCCGGCGCCGCGGCTCTTTGTCCCCTCGCCTGCACGTCTGGGGGGGCCCCCCGCCGCCCCAAAACCCCGCCACACCCTGAGCTGGCCCCGCTGCCGTCCCCAGCTGCCGCGGGACCCCCGCCCCCATGGGGGACGCGCCGGTGCCGGAGCTGGAGGCGCTGCTGGATGGAGGCGCTTGGGATGTGGGGACGACTTTCGAGGGGTCCCCCGCGCCCCCCGGGCCCGTCCGCCTGGGCAGGAACGTTTGCTACGTCGTGCTTGCTGTGCTCTTCAACCAGGAGGTGAGGCAGCCCCCAGCCCCAGTGCCCCCCAGTCCAGCCAGGGCATTCCCCCAGTGCCCCCCAGTCCAGCTATCCCTTTCTCCCAGTACCCCCCAGTCCAGTCAGCCCTTTCTCCCCAATATCTTCCAGTCCAGCAACTCCAGTACCCCCCAGTTCAGCCACCCGTTCCCCCCAGTATCTTCCAGTCCAGCTGCCCTTTTCTCCCCAGTATCCTTGGGTCAAGCCACTCCTTTCCCCCCAGTACCCCAAGTCCAGCCACCCTTTCCCCTCAAAACCCCCAGTCAGCAACTCCAGTAGCCCCAGAACCTCCCAGTCCATCCATCCTTTTATTCCCAGTATATTCCAGTCCAATGACCCTTTTCTCCCTAGTACCCCCCAGTCCATCCATCCCTTTCTCCCCAGTACCCCCCAGTCCAGCCACGCTTTGCCCCCAGTACCCCCCAGTTCCCTGCAGGACTCGCTGCTGCTGGTGCAGGAGGCCAAGCCCGAGTGCCATGGCCGCTGGTACCTGCCCGCGGGCCGCATGGAGCCCGGCGAGGGCATCGTGGCTGCTCTGCGGAGGGAGGTGAAGGAGGAGTCAGGGCTGGAGTGCGAGCCCCTCACGCTGCTGGCGCTGGAGGAGAAGGGCCCAGCCTGGATCCGCTTCTCCTTCCTGGCACGGGCCACAGGTTTGTGTCCTTTGGTGCTCCAAGGGGCGCGGGAGCTTGGTGGGACCGTCCCCATCTGGCCCTGTGATGGGAAGTGGCATCCCTGTGAGGGGTTATCCCTCCCTGTTCCTATGATGGGTTATCCCTCCCTGTTCCTATGATGGGTTATCCCTGTACCTGTGATGGGTTATCCCTGTCCCCATGATGGGTTATCCCTGTGTTGGGTTATCCCTGTCCCCATGATGGGTTATCCCTGTGCCCATGATGGGTTATCCCTGTGCCCATGATGGGTTATCCCTGTGCCTGTGTTGGGTTATCCCTGTGCCCATGATGGGTTATCCCTGTCCCCATGATGGGTTATCCCTGTGCCCGTGATGGGTTATCCCTGTGATGGGTTATCCCTGTCCCCTGGCAGTTCCATGAAGTTTATCCCTGTCCCCTGCCAGCCCCGTGGTGGCTGTCCCTGTCCCCACCCCTGTGCCCACCCCTCAGTGTCCCCTGCCACCTTTGTGCCAGCTCACCGGTGCCCCTTGCAATCCCCGTGCTGGATTTTAGCATCTTTGTGCCGGGACATCGCTGTCCCCCGCCGCCACCCCCCCAAACCCCATCAGCGTCCCCTCAGCCCCACCTCGGGGGTCTCCACTCCCCACCAGCCTCTTCCCGCTGTCCCCCCATTCCGGGCCATCCCTGTGGGCGCAGGTGGGACCCTGAAGACCCTACAGGAGGCCGATGCCGAGTCTCTCCAAGCCACGTGGTGGCCCGGGGACCCCCGTTCGCTGCCGCTGCGCTCTCTGGACATCCTGCCCGTGCTGGACCTGGCCGCCCGCTACCGCCGGAGCCCCGCGCACCCCCCGACGCTGCCGCGGGAGCTGCCCTGCTCCCCGCTCTGCCTCAGGCTCCTGCTGCCCTTCTCCAACGCCGCCGGCGACCTGTGGCTGCTGCTGGCCACCTCCGGCACCCCGCACCTGCCCGTGGTGGCCTGCGGCACGTCCCCCTCCGAGCTGCGAGCGGGGCTGCGCCCGCCGCTGCTGAGGCTGCTGCGGGACTGCCTGGCCTGGGAGCCTCAGCCCGCGGCTCTGGGGCTGCTGGGGCTGCAGCACCGGCCGGCCGGCGCTGGGGACACTGACGGCATCTGTTTTAACGTGGTGCTGAGCGTCCCCCCGGGGAGCCAGCGGGATGAGCCCCCCGAGCCCCGCGGGGCCGCGCTGCGCTGGTGGCCGGTGCGGGAGGAGCGGCTGCGGGGCCGCATCCTGCAGAGGATCCGGGCCACGGTGCCCGTCAGGAGTTAGGGCACAAAAAAGCTGGATTTGGGAATAGGGTGGAGCTGAGAGGGACACGAGGGGTTGGGTGGTGGTCGCGGGGTGCTGAGAGCAGAAATAAAATAAACCTGGCTGCTGCTGCTGCTTCTTCCATGTCCCTGGCTGTGGTTAGAAGTGGGATATGGGGGGGAAATGGGGTTTTGGGGGAAACGGAAACGGGGAGTGGGGTTTTGGGGTGTCTGGAGAAAAACGGGGAGTGGGGTTTTGGGGTGTCTGGAGAAAAATGGGGAGCGGGGTTTTGGGGTGCTTGGGGGAAATGGGGTTTTGGGGGAAATGGTGAGCGGGGTTTTGGGG